TTTAGAAAATAGAATTTTAACGTTCTGCATTTTAAATACATTAAATTATGTTTGGTAACACCTCAAGATGTAAGAAATTTTGAGGCATTACAGGGCTGCTCTGAACTATCCCACATATGGCAAGGAGTTGTACTCATTTGTTGGAGCGTTGGAGACTTGACAGCACTACCTGTGGCCTAAGGAGTTCTTGATACACACTAATCATGAGTCGTTGTAGCACTTACGGGGTCAAGGTAAATTGAACAAAAGGTAAGTGAGGTGGATGGAACTTATTGTCATTTCACTACGTTATCCAGTATAAACAAGGTAAGGAAAATGTGGTTGCGAATGCGTTATCTCGAAGGTAGCTTGGATGGTAAGCGAAAAGATAAGTTGGTAAAGTCACTGCATCAAAACGTCAGGATGCAAATTGAAGAGAAGAGTAAGCTCGTAGCAACGAAAGCAAATAAAGGTAGAAAGCACATGACATTTGAACCAGGAGATTGGGTTTGGGTGCATTTCAGAAAAGAGCATTTTCCGGATCAGAGGAAGTCTAAGTTACAACCACGTGGAGATGGACCATTCCAGGTCATCGAGAAGATCAACGATAATGCCTACAAAGTGGATCTCTCAGGTTAGTATAATGTTTCGGCTACATTTAATGTTGCTGATCTATCTCTGTTTGATGCAGATACAGATTTGAGGACGAATCCTTTCGAAGAGGGAGGGGATGATATGATCCAAGGTGCCATCGAAATGAGGACAAGTCCAGAGAAGGATCCATTGCTAGTGGAAGAAGGACCGATGACTGGATCAAGGGCAAAGTAGGTGAAAGAAGCGATGTCATTGCTTGTTCAAGCTACGGTTGACGATATGGTGATCGTGACAAAGAATGGGGCAAGTTTCATGTTGGGGTCGAGGTCGAAAAACATTTGGATCAATGTGATAGAAGCAAGCGAAGACAGAGGCCAAAGTTACTACTATGCGACCGCATAGTGGAAGCGGGCATGCGGTCAAATGCCTATTTACTGAAACCAAGCAGAGGCATTTTGATTACTCTATGTGACTGCATAGAATTCTTCTATGCAGCCGCAAAGAACAAAATCTGGAAGGAAATTTCATTTTTCCTTGAATTTTTCATAATTGATAGAATTCTATGTTTAGTCAATCTCTTACCTTATTTATGAGATTTTGCAAGTTTTTTTTATCTAGTTTCTAGGGTTTGGTATAAATATCAAAAATTTTTCATTGTAAAAGATTTTTGACAAATTATTAATTGAGAGGCTTGCTTACCTTGTTCTTCAATTGAACAACTATCGAACTTATCAAGATTTGAATCTTGTGGCATTCAAAACATCGGATCCTGGGTTCTTCATTGTGTAATCAAGGGGATCAACGTATCGTCATTATCGTTGGATTTTTTGGTTCACCTTGTTGGGTTCAAATCCAAAATCGGGTTTAATTAGCGTTCTTAGGTTCCGCATCAATCTAGTTGTGGGTTTTGTAGTCACCGTTTCTACGGGGTTCGCATCATCTTTACCCTCGGATATAGGTCTCTTTCTTCATTGACTCTAGTTTGGGATCCTTCCAAAGGTAAGAGGAAGATACCGGTGGGTCTGAACCACTTCCAGATTCAATATCTTTATTTCTCCTTCACCTTAACGATGAGTTGGATTCGGGAAGCTTTATTAGTGCTTTCCTCTTTTATTTCCAAGGCTACCAGATCTATTTATTAGTGTTCTAAAATGCCCGAAAATGGATCGCATTGTGATATGTGCGTAAAAATAGAAGCCTATTGGGAGATGCGCGTAAAAACGCGTCGCATTTGTGATATGCGCGTTGAAAACATTTTTTGTTGACCGCCTTGGCACGCCTAGGTGTATCAATACGCAATTAGGCACCTTCATTCTCGATTAGCGCTCATTAGGCTCGCATTAGGAAACCCACCAGTCCAATTGCAAACTTGAAGACCCGGCCCAACCAGAAGACCCAGCTTAAAACCCACCAGTTCAATTTTTGCCTTTTTCATTCCCAACTCCCAAGTCAGAACTCGTGGAACTCCTCCAGTCCTCCTCCCGTCCTCCGCTCTATGTTTCACCTTCACTTTCACCTCTAAATCCATGGCTGCCCAACCAAGTACTTGTGAAATGTGACACTCGCCTTCACCACACTGATATTATCTGCCATTTGTGGTCTTCTTCAACCGGTTCGGAACTCGAAAAGGTTGGTTTTTGATATTTCCCTTCTTTGACTGTGTTGGGTTTTCGATTTTGGTATAAACCCTTTCTTTAACCCTTTCGAAAATGGCTAAAATCTTTACAAATTCACCATGTTCTTTTTTCTTCTTTTAGCTGTTGCTTCCTTGTTCATCTGTTGTTAATTTGCAGGATGAAAATTGATCTTGTCCTAAGTAGAGTTCTATAGTATTCAATCATAATTGTTTAATAAATCTCATGACTTCTTCATTATTGTTTAATAAATCTTGGCACTTTAGCTTTGGATCAAAAGCATTTTTGCCAAGTTGCCATCTTAGTTGGATTGGTAGTTCGGAGTAGGCAGATAAGGGAGAGTGATGGGGTGGTCTGTTTACAGGTCTGGCCAGGCCAGGCCAGGCCAGGAACTGTAACTCTTGACCATGTATTTTATCAGTTTGTAACTGTAAGTTTATTCATTCTTTCTTCTATCTTTATTAAATGACTTACACGTTACATCTGTCTATAATTATATATAATAGCTTCCATCTATTTTTGTAGGATGTAATGGAGCAAAATGATTCTTCAATGGCCTCTAATTCTAGATTTGAAGATGGTGATTTGAAAAAAAGGTTCTGGGGACATTGGATGAGAAACTGGAATTCTTGAAGATCCTACTAAACCTAATAATGTGAAATGCATATTGTGTGATAAAGTTACAAAGGCGGGAATCAATAGGCATAAAATTCACATAGCGAGAATTAAAGAAATGGGTATGAGTCCATGTCCTAAAGCTAGCAAAGAGCAAAAGACCAAATACCTTGAAGCAATTGAAGAGAATAAGTCTAAAAGGTTAGAGAAGGCATTGAATGAGGCTAAATTGAGGGATGATGCAGTTATGTCTTTTTCTACAAGTGTGGAAGAAAATGATGAGATTGCTATCATTGAATGAGGGTCTAGGATGAGGTCCATTCGTGTTGGTCCCATGGATAATTTCTCAAGGCCAATCAAGGTAGATGGTGTTAGTGCAAATAAGATACCGAAACAACAAAATATCTATGATGCAATTGCTAAGAAAAGGACATTAGAAGTTCATCAATATTTAGCAAGATGGGTATATGAACTTGGAATTCCTTTTAATTCCATTGAAAATGATAGCTTTAAATGCTTTGTTGAAGCTCTTGGTCAATATGGCCCAGGTTACACCCCTCCTTCACAATACCAACTAAGAGAGCTACTTTTGAAGGGAAAGGTGGAGAGAACAAAGGAAACTCTTAAAAAGCAAGAAGAGGAGTGGAAGAGTAATGAGTGTTCTATAATGAGAAGCATGATGAATTTGTGCATGAATTGTAAATTGGGAACCACGTTTCTTTCTTCAAAGGAAACTAATGATAATGCTTACACTGCTCAATACATATTTGACTATGTCAATGAATGTATTAAAGAGGTTGGAGAGGAAAATGTGGTTCAAATTGTAACCGACAATGCTTCAAATAATATGGCCACTACAAATTTGTTAAAATTACATCGTCCTACCATCTTTTGGACATCGTGTACAACTCACACATTGAACCTTATGCTTAAAGGAATCTCTAAACTTCTTAACTTCAAGGGAGTGATTAAGAAGGCAAAATCATTCAATATTTTCATCTATGCACATCACAAAACTTTGGCATTGATGAGGAAGTTTACAAAAGGGAGATAGTTTGGCCGGGAGTTACTAGATTTGCGTCATCTTTCTTGACATTACAAAGTTTGCTTGATAAAAACAAGAGTTGAGAAATATGATGACTAGTAATGAATGGGATAATACTAAATGGTCTAAGAGCAAAAATGGAAAAGAGGCATTTGATGTTGTTGTTCCCAACTATTTTTGGAACTTGATAGAGTTGTGTTTGAGGGTGTTCACTCCATTAGTGAAAGTGCTTAGACTAGTTGATGGGGAGGAGAAGCCTTCAATGGGATTTGTTTATGGAGAGCTACAAAAGGCAAAAGATGACATTAGAAAGACATTGAAGAAGGAAAGTGATTATATGCCAATCTTGAACATTATTGATGCAAAATCCAAGGATCGACTTGATAGTCCACTTCATACAACGGCTTATCTTTTGAATCCATTTTATTACTTCAAGAATCCAAGTATCAAAGATGATGAATTGATAACAAATAATGTGATTATTTGTGTTGAGAAGTTCTTTCTCGATGTTCAAATGCAACATCATGTGATAAATGTCGAGTTGCAAAGATACACTCAAAAAGAAGGTGCATTTGGAAAAACTTTAGCTATAAGTGGATGTGAGAACAATACTTCAAATTACAATCCGGGTATGTTTAAATTATTTTCTTTTCATTTTTTGTTAATAGTTAAATTAGTATACCACATGGATATATAATATATTATATTTATCTCTCTTTTTTGTATATACTAGTAAGTTGGTGGGACTTTTATGGCAATCAAACACCAAATTTGAAATTCATGGCAAAGAGGATCCTTGGTTTGACTACGAGTTCATCGGGTTGTGAGAGAAATTGGAGTGTCTTTGAAAGTGTAAGTACTAAATACTTAATTATGTTGCTATATTATAGTTATTACTTTGGTAGTGGTTTGATGATTTAAAGTTTACTAAAAATTTTCAACTTCTTTCATGTAGGTGCACACTAAGAAGAGGAACCGCCTAGATGTTACAAGGATGAACAATTTAGTTTATGTCCAATTCAATGCAAGATTGATGAACAAAAGAAGAGGAGGAAAGATAAATTAGAAACTCTACTAGCAAATGATGCTAGTAATACACAATCTTGGATTGTTGAGGGTTGTGATGATGATGATGAGGAGGAGGAGGAGGTGGAGGTGGTGGAGGTAGAGAATGATATCTTACAACCTACAAGAGGTTTTCAAAATGATGAAGATGAAATAAGGGAGCCCGACGAAAATGATTTTGTATTGGATGGCACGAAAGATGAGTTAGATGAAGAAGAAGAAGAAGAAGAAGAAGAAGAAGAAGAAGAGATCGAGTTAGAATCCGATAAAGAGTTAGACAAAAGTTAGGCTATGTGACTTAATGTAGAAGTGTTCTAACTTTTATCATATTTTGTTAGTTATCATATGTTGATAACTTGATAACTTTTATCCTATTTTGTTAGTTATCAACTTATCACTATCATGAAGGCATTTTACTATTATAATATGCTATTATCAAAGTTTAGAATTGGTTCCTCAATGAATTAAATTGTGCAAGAGTAAGACCTCAATAAAATCCTCTACTTAGTGTCCAATCCATTAACAGTATAATTAATTCTTAATAGTAAATGTGTATGTTTATTTTTAAATACAAAATTTGTTTTTTTAAGTATAAAAATCTATTTATTATACTTAAAATAATATTAAAAGTACGAAATGCATTATGACGCATATTCTCCACATTAACACGCTTAAACTTGTGATTCTTGATTCTCGACCTCGACGCATCGCAACGCATTACGCATTTTAGAACACTGCTATTTATACTTTAACCAATCTCAAGATAAATTTGTGTAGGGGCTTACCCCTAAGTAAAAGGAAAAATTGATCAATGTTCATCTTGTGTGAGCTGTTGTACTTCACCATAACTAGCAAATTGAGTATTAATTTTTTATTTTGAAAGCTGACAACCTGAAAATAAAATTAGTTCCTTGGAGAAGAGGTTCGAAGCTCTTCAGAAAAGATTGGGAGATGCCGAGAACGAGAGAGCCAAGTACAAGGAGATAAGCAAATGTACCAAGGTTTTTATTACAGGGGATGCTTCCTTGGTGGTTGGTGTTAAGAGCGTCTCCATAGATTGGAGCTAGCTAAGGAGAGGCATGGGGTTTATGTTACCAAGATCGATCACTAGATTTTACGTCTTAAAGAGGGGCTTCAATTGGTAAAAGTCTAGTAATATGCTACCTTCCAGGACCTCGATAATGCGAAGAACGAGATGGATTTGCTTCGCAACCAACTGGATAGTAGTAAGATAAAATTGGCTACTGCGAAGTCTAGCCTTTCTGAGGCAAGACTTGTTGAGGAGACCTTGCTTTCGTAAATAAGGATTTTTAAGCACATCTTTCTTTCCTTCAATCATTAGTATGGTATTACCCACCGAAGCCTTTGGGGTTACTTTCCTAAGACTCTAAAATAGCATTCTCGTGCAGCGGCTTGATTTCCTTTGATACTAGCTATTCTGTGAGGAGTTTCAAATTTCATGCTTAGATGATGAATGGATGTTATTGCTTTTACTTGCTTTAGGTCATGTCTTCCCAAGATCCCATTGTAAGTAGATTTGCTGTCTACGATAAAAAATCCATGTATTGTTAGAATGCAATTGGCTCTTCACCCAGCTTAATTGTCAAATGTAATTTATCCTCTTGGGATCAAACTAGCGCTAGTGAAACTATACAAAGGCTAGACCATGGGTACCCAAGTGTGATCAACTTACATATGATCAAAAGCAGTTCCATACAAGATATTTACAAAACTACCATTATCCACCAACATTTTGATAAAGTTATTGCGAGCTATTATAGCTCACACTAACAGTGCTTTACAATGGGGATAAATGATTCGCTGTTCATCTTGATCATTAAATGTTATCAAAATAGATGCAGTTATAGGGTTATCTTGAGTCCAGAGAATCTCCAATGCGGACTTCTAGGCTATGAAAGCATAATTTCTTTGTGCATTTATCGTTTTCCCGCCTATATAAGGGCCCCCAATTATAGTGTTGATTTTCCTTACTGATGTTGAGGGTTTAAAGCAATCATTAGTGCTTATAATGTCTCTACATGCCTTGGTGTGACTCCTCGACCTCGTCCTCTGGTTGGATAAGGTGGTTTTCTACGTTCAGCTATTTCATGCTAGCCTCTCTGCTGGCTTCACAATTTTCCCATCCTAAGTCCTCGTAGCATTCATCCATACTGTAATCTCTAAAGCGATAGACTAGAGAACTTCGCCTTCAAATTTCTAGGAGAGAGGTGTTCCTAGTCCGTGACTTGTGAGAGGCAAGAGATATCGCATGCACCTTACTTTTTAGCTCATCGAAATGTAGGTATTGTTAATTTGATAGTCTGGATGCATTTGCTGTAGTATTTATCTTGAGCCTTTCTGTGCGGATATTTTATCATATTTCGATTCTCAATTGTGTCTTCTGTTTGGATTTCATTCCTTATTAAACTTACTAGCTAGTGATAGGAGGTTGGATTCTTATTACGAAAATCTCGTCAAAAAGGGAGTTTCGATCAACATACCGTTCCACACGGCGTCTTGAGCCTTTTCGCTTGATATAGTTTTGCAAGCAATAAGTTCACCACTAAATCGCGTGAAGTAGCTCTTCAAGTCCTTACCTTTCTCCAGCCTCATGTCATTCAACATTATAGCCAGGGCTTGTCCCATCCTACTCACTGCAAATGTCCCTAGGAATGCTTGCTTCAACTGTGGTCAACTCCAGATTGATCCTAATGGTAGTTTACTGTACCACTACTTTAGCGAGTCTATCCAATGTTAGATGGAAACTCTGAAATTTGAGAGACAAATACTCATCGTCGTCATCCAGCTCATATGATCTAGTAGGTTGACCTTCATATTCCTCGAATGGAGAAGTGTCGTATAAAGTGTTGATGAGGTTTGTTTTTTTTACGTTTTGGCCTCCACAAAGATAATATTAGTTAAACCTCGTGTCGTGTGAGCTTACTTCATCCGTAAGCTTTTTCAGAGTGGATTTACTATCACGTCGTTCCTTTCATTTCTTTTTGAGCACAGTGTCATCGATTTTTTAAATCTACAAAATGCCACTATTTTCGCCAAAAGAGCTAGCACGATGCTTTATCTCATTTTAATCGGACTCGCACTGCCAACTTTACATTAGGATTCTCAATTTTTCATGTGCAATGATGCGTTTTCTACTATTAACACCTTCAGGCTCTTAACCATCTCTTGGATAGTTATTGTGGTGGACATTTTCTTTTGTAAGTAACAATGCTAAATGAAAGAAACACCAAATTCTGGATTTATCGGTGTTTTCTCTTATTGTCGCTTCGAGTTCGCATTGTAACCACATGATCATCACTATTGTATCCTCCAACTCCATCTTCTAGATTTACCTTTATTTGGCACATCCTTTCAGATCTCAACATTTTCTGAACTTCAATAGAAAACTTCATGGTTTACTTTGCTCAACTTTCCTATAGATGACGCCAACTTGTTGATAAATCAATAAATTCCTCTCACTAAGTCAAGGTTTTCACCGCATAAACTCACTGATTTTGATACTCAAATCAGAGCAATAGAATAAATGGTTATTTTTTGGAAGATATTTGAATTTGTATGGTTTTCTTCTCTTAGGCGGAAGTATTTATAATTTTTCTTCAAGTGTTTGGGCGCAATTGGATCATTTAGAAGAAATAACATGTGGCGACCTTTTATAGGCTGATTTGTAACTGATTCTATTTTAGAATCACGTTTCACTTATTTGCTTATGTGTCATGCGCTCATTGGCCTTCATCCACTTATACTTTAGTAAAAGTATTTCCGCCAACCTAGAAGGGGGAATGACTCGCCTTCCATTTTTGCAAGCCTTTTTTACCCTTCACATATCATTTACACTTTACGAACTAGGAATGACCTCATGGAATGGATTTCTTTATTCAATAGAAGCCATGGACTTTTGAGGATGAAAAACTTATGATATGGAAATGTTTGTTGAAAGCTTAGAATGAAGAAGAAATGGAACAAGTAAGAGCAAAAACACTATGGTAGATCTACCCGATAACGTCTACTATAGTTTCTGTGATCGGAAGTAGCAGCTGCTATTGGTCACAGAAGCTGCTGCCGACTCTAGCAACAATGCTACTAGTGTCGAGAACGCCATTTCTACTGCTGGCCTTAGCAGCCTCAACTGTTGCTTGTGGCAATGACTACCCCTTCGAGGACATTGATTGTGGTTACTGTTATTGTGCTGTAGTAGCCAATAGTGTTGCAGCCGCCAGTGACTACTCTTTTTGGGGCTATCATAGCCTATGCCTATGGGTGCGTGTGAGTTGGGGTGGTTGGAGGTGATATAATGGTGTTACTAAGCTTTGTATTGTTGGACTTATTTTAATTTTTTGGACTTTTCTTTGTGACTTGGGCCAATCTAAATAGATAAGGGCCATTGTCTAAAAGATTGGAATTCAAAATTAAGTTGGCCCATATTTTTGTACACTCTGTAGATTGGCTAAAAGAAGATTGAAAATTTTGGCCTAATGGATTTACTTTAATGATTGTTGTAACTTTAAATTCTTAGGATGTGCAATAAGTGATTATGATTCTTTTATTTCTTTCCTTCATTGCTTTATGGATTATGAATGAACGAATATTATGACATGTCACGTGGATTAAATAAACCACCACCCAGTACACTAAAATCATATGCATTGGTATTTATAAGTTTTTTTTATCATTCTAAATTAATTAGAAATGGTTAAAATATTATCTTTAATAATTTGTATAATTATAATTGTTTATACTTGGACGATTAATTATTAAATGAAAAAATTTGAAAGTTTAAAATAGTAATTAAGAGAGGTTTATAGGTATGTATAAACCCACGACCTCCTTTGTTATCCAATTTGTTATTAAAATACGTATTCGTCTACTATCAAATTACATCGATCTCCCTAAAGGATGACTACTTTATTTTAGATTAACTAGAATTGAAGTAGAATATTTTGAAATGGAATAATGGGGTGATTGCCTATAGATAAAATACAC